GTGTGGGCTGTCCACCCGTCACAGCCCCCCGAGTACATAGAGATGAGTGAGTGAGCAGGGCCCCTCACGGAGGGCCTGCCAGGTGTGGGCTGTCCCCCTGTCACAGCCCCCCGAGTACATAGAGATGAGTGAGTGAGCGGGCTCCTCACAGAGGGAGGGTCTACTGGGCATGGGCTGCCCACCCATCACAAGCCCCTGCACCCCCATGCCATGCCCTGGCCTGCAGGCCTCACCGCCGAGTACACGAGATGAGTGAGCTAGCAGGGTCCCTTCCAGAGGGCCTGCCAGATGCAGGCTGCCCACCTGTCACAGCCCCCTGTGCCCTCCCCATGCCCTGGCCTGCAGACCCTAGTGGTGCACTGTTGCTACTCAACCACTTATCTAAAGGTATGCAGTTCAGACCCACCCCCTAGTTGGTACTGTGTACCGTAAAGTCAGAACCAACTCATAGCCAACCCTCCAGCAGGTTTTCAGAGGCCGTCAGCTGCAGGGGAGGAGACTGCCCATCCTGCTCCCATGTCCCAGTGCCCATTGGATGTGTCCTGAGCAGAGGGTTCTCCCTGGCCTCCCCTCCACCACAGTCCTGCCTCAGCTCATGACCTGTGCACAGAGGACTGCCCTGTAGTTTCCAACACTGGGCTCTTCACAGACACAGATAACCCCATCTTTCTCCCATGGTCAGGCTGGATGATTCGAACTGCCCACCTCTATGGTTAATAATCAAGTCCTTTATCCACTGGGCCACCAGGGCTTCTGCATGCCTCTCAGAAACCCAAACATCAAGCTGACTGTCTGGTCAGGTTAGACGCCTCGTGTCCCAGGAGGACAGACTGCAGCTGCCCCGTAGGGTTTCCGAGGCTGTAAATCTTTGCAGAATCAGGAGGTAAAGACTTTCTCCTGTGGAGTAGCTCATGGGTTTAAACTGCTAATCTTGGATTTATCAGCCCAGTTCTTAAACCCCTGTGCCACCAGGCTCGTTAGACATGCAGTAAGCACTCAATGAATGTTGAATGAATGGGCAAACATAGGAAACCCTGTAGTGGGATCCCAGAGGCTGCACCCTCAGCCCCTCGTTGGCTGGGACCTGCTTGAGACACCAGGCCTGGATCAGATGGACGAGAAGTCCATCTGGAACGCTCCCAGCATTGCCCATCAGAGTCCCCGACTCCCCCACTCACCCCTTCCTGGACCCTGGATGCTCAAGGAGGCAGCACCCATGAGAGGGGAGATCCCTGCAGGAGCCTCAGAGCCAGGGCAGCCCCAGCCCAGGGACAGAAATGCTTACTGTGGGGTGTCCCCAGTGTGGGGCTCTGCCTCCTCCAGATCGGTCAGAAGGAACTGCTGTCCACAGAGCCCACTGGACAGGTGGCATTGATCACCCTCACCCCGACAGTGCCCACCCCACAGAGCCCATGGCCGGTCAGCACCACCCTGACACTGCCCTCCAGCCTCTGGCACAGGCTGACATTTCCTGGGCTTTCTTTTTTACCAAGTGACACCTCACACCTCTGGCTGAGATCCTGCTCACAGGTCCTGAACCTCCTCAGCTCCTCCAGAATGTTCCCCTGACCCCTGTCCAGAGCCCAGCCTGCGGGCAAATCCAAGGCCAGGGAAGCGCCAGGCCAGCTTAGTGACCAGGGGCCTCAGGACAGAGGGGCCAGGGCGGGAGGAGCAGCACCTCCCTGGACGGTGGGTGCTGCCCATTCCCAGCCTGGTGGAAGGGGACGTGCAGGCCTTTGACACAGCAGTGATCCTGGTAGACCAGCAGGTCTCCGTTGGCACGACACCGAGCCCCCTCCAGTCACGGGACCGGCAGGGGCCACAGGTTGTGCCTCGGAGCATGGGGAGCTTCCTCCCGTTACTGCTGGTATTTAATTAGACACAAAACCAGTGAGCACGTCCCCATTGTACAAGCCACGGGGGCAGTTACACATCCACTGCCAGCTGAGAGGTTGGCGGTTCAAGCCCACTCAGAGGCGTGTTTGGAGACAGGCAATGTGCTTCCCAAAGGCCACTGCCCGGAAACGATGCTTTATCCTGCACGGATGGGGTCGCTCTGAGTCGGACTGACTTGATGGCAACGAACCACAGCATTGACCACATGTACAGCGCCTGGTTCAGAGCAGAAGCTTAGCAATTTGCCTACACCTCCCCCCACCACACTGCAGGTCCCCAGGGAGGTGTCCACTCACCCCAGCCTGGCAAGGCTACCCAGGGACAGGCGTCCATTCACCCCTGCCTAGTCTAGGTTCCCAGGGACATGTGTGCATTCACCCCTGCCTGGCGAGGCTGACCAGTGGCCCTGTCTCTCAGTTATCCAGTTCGGCTTTGTCACCCTCTTCGTGGCGTCCTTCCCACTGGCCCCTCTCTTTGCACTGCTGAACAACATCATCGAGATCCGCCTGGACGCCAAGAAGTTCGTCACGGAGCTCCGGAGGCCAGTGGCTGTCAGAGCCAAGGACATCGGTGAGTGATCCCACGCAAGCCGGCCTTGGGGGCCGCAGAGCAAGGAGGCTGTCCCTGTGTGGACACAGAGCCACAGGGAAAGGCATGAGGCTCCTGTTCCCCCTGCTCTCGGAGCTCTGAGGTGACCCGGACGGAACTGTCACAGGAGAACCTCGGGTGGCTCTGGACCACTCACCACCTGCTGCGCTAGCAGCGTCTGGCCTGGGTGAGACGCAGGGACAGTGCTGTGGCGAGGGTCAGGTGTGTCAGAGACAGTGAGGTTGTTCAGGACCGGGCAAGGTTCAGAGCCGCTGTTCACAGGGACATTGTGAGTCACAGTCAACTCGATGGCACACAACAGCCACCATGACATGTGGAGAAGCCCTGATGGTGAGGTGTGTTACCTGCTGAGCATACGGTCATGAGTTCAGAACACCAGGCCCTCAGCTGAATAAAGTGGGCAGCCTCTTTCTGTAGAGACCCAATGGTCAGGGAGGGCACGGGGTCACTGTGAGAGGACCGAGGGTTTGGGTTGATGTTGTAGTCTTCAGTTTGTGGGGGGACTTTGTTTGGGATTTTTCATGGTGGTGAGTGTTTTCCAGAGGAGCTTTGGTGGTGCTGTGATTAAAGGTTCCAGCTTCTAACTAGGAAGTCACAGGTGCAGCCTGCCACCCATTCCCTGGGCCTCGGGGGCCGCCTCGATGGACGTGGGCTTGGTTGGGGTGGGGCTTAGCCATGGCCTGTGGGGGGGTTCTCGGTGCCCACCCTAAATGTCCATGTGGCCCGGCTGTTGGAAGGCGCTTGCCTCTGGAGCAGATCATGTCATCATTTCACGATCACAGTGAAGGAAAGACGAACCCGTTTGACAGGCAAGCGAAGAGCTGGCTAAGTCATTGGAGGTGTTCTGGGAGGGTCAGTACTCAGACATGGGTCTGAGACTTTCCATTTCAAGGCCCTTTGAGGACCTCGTCCACTTGGAGCAGGAGTGAGGGATGGGAGGCAAGTTCTAGGTCAGAAGAAAAAACTCTGGTGGCCAGAGGTGTCAGAAACAGAGCCAGCGTCTTTGTGGAGTAGTGAGCTCCGCGTCACTGGAGGCATTTAAGCAGAGGTCTGGAATCAGCTGGCATGCTGGGAACTGGAGAAAGCAGGGGGCTCCATATCAGAGCTTTGCCTTGAAGATGAGATGGGAATTTACAAGAGCACATTCCTCCGTCTCAGAGCAAACACTGAACTCACCACCACAGCGCCTCTGTGATCTTAGCATAAGCAGAGGGGCCCCGCCTGTCATGCAGCCAGAGTGAAGCAGTGAGAGACCATCTGAGCAGGCTTGTGGGGCCCAGACAGAGCGCTGCAGGGGCACAGGGAGTGGCCAGCCACGAGCACCCTCCCCACGTGCCCCCTACCACCCTTGGTGGTAACCCAACTGTCTAGCGGGGCGCTCAGTCCACCCTCACCATCCACCTGATCCAGGTGAGACTGCCATCCTCGCAGTTCCGGCCTGGCTGACTCACAGTGATCCCCCAGCTCCCTTGAAACATCCATGCTGCCCACACCATTGAACTCTGGTGGCCTAGTGGTAAGGAGCTGCACTGCCAACCTAAAGACATGTGGTTCATTCAAATCCACCAGCAGATCCACTGGAAAAAAGACAGGCAGTCTCCTCCTGTGTGATTTACAGCCTCTGAAAACCCGCTGGGGGTCAGTTACAGGCCTGCTGTGACTCAGGTGTCAACAACACTTGAAACATCCTGCCTGGCTGCCCTGTCTCAGGCAGCGGAGCAGGAATCTGGTGTGCTGTAGGCAGGGATCCAAGCAAGGGGACCAGCACCCCATATTTAGACTCTGTGGCTTCCCTGACTGACCTCCTCATTGGGGTCCGGGTAATGAACCCCCCACAGGGCTACCCTCCCTGTTGAGGTCTGGCCAGGCCTGAGAAAAGTGGGTGTGTCTGCAGCCTCCTTGGCTCCATGGGGCTCCAGCTGCCCCGACGGTGGCAGGTGCCCCTGGCGGACGTGTGTCCTCCCTGGTCACTGTGTAGGCGTGTGACTGCAATGTCTGCCTCGGTGCCTTGTTTGCCTGTCAGTCCTGTCAGTGGTCACTTCCTGGTTCCTGCCCGCCAGGGTAAAGGTGCAGTCCGTCCTTTCTCACAGGTTTAAGGACTCATCAACCTTTCGTGAGGAAGCCTTTGTTTTCCTCCATTGATCCAGACTGAGCCACAGCACAGGCACCAGGAAGAGACGGGAGGCCTAAGGGGGCCCCCTGGCCTGCTGCCCACACATTTCAGGATGTCTGGGAGCAGTCCTACCACAGAACACCTTAATAGCCCTTCCAGACCTCCAGGGAGAGCCCCCCTCAGGTCGCAGCAGACACCCCGCTGGACAGGGGGACTGCCTCGGAGCCCAGCTGTGGCCCTCCCTCAGCCTCCTGCCCCTCCTCACTGTCCAGTCTCAGCTGGAGAGCCCTGTATCTGCTTCCAGCCACTGGCCACTGAGAGCAGGCCAGCAGGACACTTTTCCCCAGCATGGCTCCTGGTGTCATAGTGCATAGTGTGTTGCACTGCCAACCGTAAAGTCAGCTGTTCGAATCCACTAGTAACTGCAAAAGAGAAAGATGAGGCCGTCTCTTCTGTAAACTTGCTGGAGGGTCACCGAGTGCCGGAGCCCACCCAGCAGCAGTGGACATTGGGGAGGGGGGAGGGTCTTGCTATGTCTCTGTGATCTGAAGGGAGACGTGGCCAAGTGCTCTGACAGCCGCTTGTGACAGGTGTCAGAAAGGGCAGAGATTCTCCAGGTGCAAGGGACAGACGTGACTGGAGTAAAAGAGCAAAAGTCTGTGTCTTTGCCTCTGAGGGGCATTCTGGTTATGTTTTTCCTGAGACTGGCAAGTTCACGGTCGCCCGTGTTTGCGGGATGAGAGTCCGTCCTGCTGTATCACCACTGTCATCCGTTAGTTCCGGTGGCTGTCCTGACCTCCTGGACACTGGGGTTTGTCCTTGTGTGGCCCCTTCTGAGAACTCTGAGCCATTTCCCTCTCAGACAGGGTTCTGCAGGAGCCACAGCGGCATGAGGGTTAAAACTGCTAACTAAAAGGTCAGGAGTTTGAACCCACGCAGTGACTCCAAGAGGGAGAGCCAAGGTGCTCTGCTCCATCAAGCCTTGAGAGCCTGGGGGGCGTCCACGCTGTCCTTGGGGTCCCTGGGAGTCAAGATCCCCTTGATGGCAGGGAGTTTGGGTTTTTTTCTGCGGACAAGGTTCTTGTCTGGTGGTCTCATACAGCATTGTGTCCCAGCCTGATAGGATGCAGGCAGCATGAGGCCAGGCAGAGGTCAGTGATTCCACATAGAGCCCAGTGTGAACCTTGCAGATGAGGTGCATCCCCTGACCCCTGCTCATCCCCGGCCCAGTGGGGAGGCCCAGGGGAAGTACTTTCTGCCCACCCTGACTCAGGGAACCTGGGATCAGGGGGACAAGTGGCCCCAGGGAGTGGCTCTCACACTCACCTGCCAGCGAGGCTTCCCTGCTGCCCATCAGTCCAGAATCACAGGTGACATCCCCAGGCCATGGCCCAGAGCTGCCTGGTGTCAACGTCACCAAGTCACTCTGACTCAGGATCACTGTGGACAACAAAGGAAACGCTGCCCAGCCTCATGTCACCATCACAATCCTTGGCCTGCTCAGTCCACTGCTTTGTCCACTGTGTGCGCTGAGACTGTCAAGCAGGACGTATCTCCTGGTGCTTTTCTGTGCCCCCCACGGGGTTCCCAGGGGCTCCCCAAGCCTTTCTTCCTAGTGTGCCTTGGCCTAGAAGCTCCACTGAAACCTGAGTGGTCACCATTAGTGACCCTGCTGAAATAGCCTCCACATCAGAGCAGCACATAGGCCACACAGAATGACAAACCAGCAGATGGGTGGTGAATCCCAGCCCTCCAAAGTCCCGTGCCATCGAGTTGGTTCTGACACCCTATAGGGGTCAGCAGGACAGCAGAATTGTTCTGCAGGCTTTCCAAACTACCAATCTTCACACATACTCCCTGCCTCGGCCTTCTCCCATGGAGACACCGGTGGATTCGAACCTTGGGCTTGTTGGTGAGAGCCAAGCATTTCATCACTGCACCAGCAAGGCGCTTTGTCCTAGTCCTAGAACCACTGAGAGATCTAGAAAGCCAAAGACTTGCACACCTGGCCTCCAGTTACTTGTTAAATGGTCTCTGTGGGGTAGACACTGACAAGAGACTTGAAGTATTCACTGAAGAAGATTAGTGACTAGAGCATTCAGTATGGCTTCTTCCTCAGCACGAAGAAAACAAATCCTCACCTCGGGACCAACAGCTAGCATCATGTCAGACAGCGAAAAGATTGATGCTATCAATGATTTCATCTCATTTGGGTCCACAGTCAAATGATACCAACAGTCAAGAAATCAAAAGACATGTTGCATTAGGAAAATCTGCTGTCATGGACCTCTCCAAAATACTAAAGAGCAAAGATGTCAGTTTAAAGACTAAGGTGCACCTGATCCAAGGCTTGGTCTCTTCAGTCTCTTGCTATGCATCTGGAAGTTGGACAAGTCACTGAGGAAGTCCAAGGCAGAATAGACGCCTTTGAGTTGTGTTGGAGAAGAGAACCGAATATCCCTTGGACTGCCAAAAGAATGAACAGAAATGTCTTACAGGAACTGTGGCAGGAGTGCGCCTTAGAGGCTAGGATAGTGAAACTTTGTCTCACATCCTGCTTGGAGAAGTGGAGGGTCAGCGAGATAGAGGAGGACCTCGAGGTGCATTGGTGCATTGGCTGCAGCAGTGAGCGAGGCACCGCCGTGAGCGAGGCACCGCCGTGAGCGAGGCACCGCCGTGAGCGAGGCACCGCCGTGAGCAAGGCACCGCAGAGGCTGTAAGGACGGCAGGAGCAGGTGGGCTTTCTCTCTGCTGTACATGGAGTCGCTTTGAGTCGGAGTGAACTTGAAGACACTTAACAGCTGCATCCTGAATTGGTCCTTTTGTAAAAAATAAAGTTGTAAAATGTAATTAAGAAACCTTTTAACATTTTGCCGTCTTAGCCATTTCACCTGTGATAGTTGAGGGGCATTGATCACACTCAGTGTATTGCCACCATCACCAAACACTCGGCCCCGAAGACCGCCCATCCCAACCAGAAACGGGCCCTCTTCCCAGGGCACAGGCCCTCTGTGCCTCCCGGGACGAGAAGCTGCTCCTGAACCAGCTCGCTCTGCAGGGGGGTCACGCGGAGGTCTCCGTCACCTACGGATGAGCTGGAATTTTCCTTTTACCCTTTTGTTTTGGAGATTGGGAGGTTTTTTAAATTGTAGCAAAAAATGTTTACAGACAAATACTTGCCATCTCATCCACCTTCAGGTGTACACTTCAGCGGCCTGAGCTACACTCACCACCCTTTGTTTGCAGAGTTTTTCCACCCCCCCAAACAGAAGCAGATTGACACGGTGACTGCAGCCGTGGGCTCTAGGCAGAGGTAACGAGGTGGTGCAGGACAGGACGGGGCTCAGATCTGTTGCTCACAGGGTCACTACGAGTCACCTAACTGAACAGGAGCTCGGTGCCTGTCGCCGTACTGACCTGTCTGTGCCTTTTCTAGAAGAGTGGCCCTGGAAGCCAGCTTGATGCAGACAGTCCACGTGGACCCTGCTCAGAGCCCCTGCAGTACAAGTGTCCCCAGGTCCTGAGGATGTCCTCCTTGCTTACAGCTCTGTGGTTAGCGAGGCTCCTCCAGCTGCCCCACCCTCCCGCGGTCTCCTGGCCACACACATACTAGACGTGGCCTCAGAGAACTGAGCCAGGCCTGGGTTGGGACCAACCTAGACCACTACCTTTTTGCTTGAATCCCAGCTGTCATCGAGTTGATCCCAACTCACAGGACTCCACGTGTGCCCCATAGCGTTTTTGTGGCTGAATTTGAGAAATAGATCACCAGACCTTTCTTCCAAGGGTCGGCTAGGTGAATTCAAACGCCTACCTTTCTGTGGAAAGGTGCACCTGATCCAGGCTATAGTCTTTGCAGTTATGTGCAATGCATCAGAGAGTTGGACAGTGACTACGGATGATAGAAACAGAATTGATGCCTTTGAGCTGTGGTGCTGGAGAAGAGTGTTGAATATACCATGGACTGCTAGGAGAACAAACAGGTTTGTCCT